TTCTCTGTACAGACCTCGCGTTCGGTTAATATAATGGATTCCAGCCATAGACTAAATTTTGATCTCGGCAAGAAGAACAAAATCCATCACCACAGCTAGAAAGAGCATGTTAAAATTAGTAAAATTGCAAAGTTTGGTTGCGAATTGTTGTAAAATGAGGAAAATATAGCCCTGCGAAATTTGCAAATTTTGTATTAATTTGTATTAGGCGCGGGAAAATACACCACATTCGGGCGGAAAGTGGTGCATTTTCCCGCGCGTATTAATAATACAATTTCATACAAAATTTGCAAATTTCGCATGGCCATATTTTCCGCATTTTACAACATTTCGCAACCAAACTTTGCAATTTTACTAATTTGAACATGCTCTTTCTAGCTGTGGTGATGGATTTTGTTCTTCTTGCCTAGATCAAAATTTAATCTGCAGCTGGAATCATCCATTGATCGGCAAAATTTGGACGTCGAAAGATTCGAAACAATACTCGGCTACCAGTGTCTCCATGGATTTGTCTTTCTTTGCAATAACATACTGACATACATAAACAAGTCATGGTTATTAACAGAACGAAACGAGTCGCATTTATTTGGTTAAGCTTGTAAATAAAATCTGCTCTGAGGGATCAGTAAACCACGTATTATTGTACCGTATCAAATAGCGCTGTTCGTTTCCGACCTCGTGCAAATCACAATGTTGACAAATTCTTTTATTGTATGGAACATTGCTATATATCCATCAGTTTCAACAGGTAATTTTTGAGCCGAAATTCTGAGCTTTGTAACAGCTTGACGATGTTTAACATTGCTAATTTCAAAAGTATATTTTTCAAATTCAAAATTTTTTTGAATTTTTTTAATGTTGTTATCAAAATATGACTTTGTATCTCTATTTTGATGCTGTCTGCATCGGAAGAGGATATATATAAACCTAAAATTACTTCCAGACGAACTTCGAATGAAAACCATTCGACCAAAACCATCATTATCAAAGCCAGAAACATTAATTAAAAGTTCACCTAATGACCAACTTTGAATTGAATATATCTCATTTTATATGCGTCTATGTTTACCGAAGCATGGAATCCTCTCGGAAACTCTAACAATCTCTCCTTGTGCTCGGTTTGTTGTGAAATACGATATCATATAGTATGTCTATAGTACAGTAACCTCAAACTCCGCCTACACGTTAGCATTCTTATAATACCAAGAGCACATGACCGCTACTACAGAATCAAAACAATAACAGTACAACGATGGCCGATGCCGAAGACGACAAGGACAGCAAAGCGAAGCAAATTGAGTTGAACATGAAAGAATCTGAAATTGTAGCCGAATTTTGTAATCTTATTGAACAGTCTAGGCAGTTGTTTAAAAGTTTAAGGTGAATATATGTAATGTTTATATAAAAGTCTAGCCTATGTTAGCATGCATGTTGTATGCCGTGGTGTGCGTTGGTGTTTGTATACTATAATATAAGAATAATTTGGGTTATATATCATTGTGACAGCATAATCATGGATTTTGTCAGGCCGATGTGTAATATTTTAAGATGAATTCTTATGTCTAGTTTTCATTCTAATATATGGTATATAAGCAGAGTTTTGACTTTTGAGACATGTACTCAAACAGTCAAGATAGTCTATGTTCTAATACCTCAATGATTTTCTCTCATTACACATATTTTGTTATACGTATCGTCGCATTGGCTTAGTGTTTGTATATATACTGGGTCAAGATAGATTTCGGAAATTTGGAACGGTTGTTGCTATGCAGTGATTCGCCTTTGAGTTTTGGAAGGGCAATATAAGATGAAGTGTTGAGGTCAAATGTGACGTCGAGGTAAACACGCGATCATCTGGGTCAATACTCTGGGAGATTTTCCAGCCTAAATTTCGGCCGCGATCTTCAAACCCAGATATGTCAGAAAAAGCCCGCATTCCGGGCAACGGACCCTCACGAAACGTGTTTCTGCTGCAGGGGTCTACACCGTAGGCTACAGAAGTGGATGCCCTCTTTGAATTGAAGAAGAACTACAGGGGTCGATTGTATGTGTTTTTAATTTCAAACTTTCTAAAATTGCCCTGGTAAACTCATACTATACTCATAGTTCGACCGCAATCTTCAAATCCAGATATATCAGAAAAGGCCCGCATTCTGGGCAACGGACCACTGAAGTGGAGGCCCCAGTTTGAATTGAAGAAAAACCGCAGGGGTCTGTGTATGCGTTTTACGAAGGCCGGATGGTGATTTTTTTCAGACTTTCTAAAATTGCCCTGGTAAACTCATACTATACTCATAATATTTATAAATTAGAGTGTCTTTTATATTAACTGTGAGGTCCGCATCCGTATAGTTTTATCGCTTTTTCAAGCACTTTGACAAAGGTTGAACAACCGGCCCCAGATCAGTTTAATTTAAAGCGGACAAGAGACTCTACTGAGTCTACTCAACAAAAGGACTGAATGAATTTCTAAATGGGCATGCCGTTTATTTAACTCCACCGACACCGGGGAAACGTCAAACTAGAAACGCTCATTCTATTAAAATGTAAGCGTTTCATTTTAAATAGAGATCTGCCACAGTTTGGACAGAAAAGTTGGCAAACGCAATTTGGAAAAACGTTCGACATATATACCAAGGTACGTTTAAATTTAAATACTTTGCGCAGATTTGTTTGGACGTTAAGTCATAAATACTTTTATTTTCCTACAAATTTTCAATTTTTATAAATAAAAAATTTAGCTTTGGAAATTCCAACAAGAAAACCGGACAGTCTTAGATAAAAAGTACGACTTAAAAAGATGGCAAATTGGGGAAATTGCGTCGAAAATTGGACAACTCTATTATCACTACTAGTAAGTAACGTTGCGCTGTAGCTGCTTTTAATTTTTCATTGGGGATAAATCGGGATTTACATCCATTTACTTATATCAGAATAGCGAAAACTATCCGAATGCAAAAGTTGTTTTACCAGCAAAAAGTATTTACGACATGTTTTGCTTCTTTTGGTGTAGTTTGCGTACAAGTCAGTCCAACTATTTACAAGAAGCTTTCTCGTTCTATACTGCCATAAGATCAAGAGCTTATTACAGCAACGCAAGTAAATTAGACACGTAAGTATTAGAGAGATGCCCATATTAGAAAGGTGCCCATATTAGAGAGATGCCCATATTAGAAAGGTGCCCACGTTAGAGACAGCATGCCCACATTATAGAGAGGTGTCCAAATTAGAGAACTGCCCACATTAGGGGCACACTAGAGGGTTCCACTTTCCACATTAGAGAGGTGCTCACATTAGAGAAGTGCCCACATTAGAGAAGTGCTCACATTAGAGAAGTGCCCACATTAGAGAAGTGCTCACATTAGAGAAGTGCCCACATTAGAGAAGTGCCCACATTAGGGAGGTGCCCACATTAGAGAAGCGCTCACATTAGAGGGGGTGCCCACATTAGAGAAGCGCTCACATTAGAGGGGGTGCCCACATTAGAGAAGCGCTCACATTAGAGGGGGTGTCCACACTAGAGAGGTTTCCATATTAGAGAGGTGCCCATATTAGACTATTAGAGAAGTGCCCACATTAGAGAAGTGCCCACATTAGAGAAGTGCCCACATTAGAGAAGTGCCCACATTAGAGAGGTGCCCACATTAGAGAAGTGCTCGCATTAGAGGGGGTGCCCACATTAGAGGGGGTGTCCACACTAGAGAGGTTTCCATATTAGAGAGGTGCCCATATTAGGTGCTCATATTAGAGAGGTGCCCATATTATAGAGGTTTTCATATTAGAGAGGTTCCTACATTAGAGAGATGCCCACATTAGAGAGATGTCCACATTACAGAGGTGTCTGTATTACAGAGGTTTTCATATTGAGAGGTGCCCACATTAGAGAAGTGCCTACATTAAAGAGAAGTGCCTACATTAAAGAGGGGTGCCCACATTAGGAAGGTTCCATATTAAAGAGATGTCCACATTAGAGAGGTGCACTCATTAAAGTGGTGTCCACATTAGAGAGATGTCCACATTAGAGGGATGTCTGTGTTTAGAGAGTTTTTCATACTGAGAGGTTCCCACATTAGAGAGTCATGTCCTCATTAGAGTGGTGTCCACATTAGAGAGATGCCCACATTAGAGAGGTGTTTGTATTAGAAAGGTTTTCATATTGAGAGGTGCCAACATTAGAGAAGTGCCCACATTAGTATCAGAGAGGTGCTCATTAAAGAGGTCCATATTAGGTGTGTCCATATTAGGGAGATGCCCATTAAAGAGGTGTGTCCATACTAAAGGGGTGTTAGTATTAGGGAAGTGTGCATAATAGAGGTGTCTCGATTGGAGAGGTGTCTGCATTTGAGAGACGTCTATATCAACCCATTGAGCATGGCCAGCACTCTCCATCAAAATCAACTGGTGCAAGACAGAGTAAAATGATGTGGGTGTGACTATACTTTTAATGAAGGAACTGAGTGTATAAAATAAATTGCAAGATGTATCTAGTGCTTTGATGCATCTACATGCACTTTGGCAGGGTCTCTATTGATAACAGATTTTATTTGTAATTTAAAAAAGAGCTACCCTGTGTAAATAAGATTTTATCTTATCTTAGATCTGACTTAATGGTGAAAAAATTACGGTTCTATGCAAGATTTATTGTTGTTACACTTCTTTTAAATAAAATGGATTTTGTGAAGGAATTAATTAAGGTAGGATTGCACAGGGTGTTGCCTGTTAAGGTGGCACAATAGTTATTGATAAAATTTTGCTTTATTTGCGGCCGAGGAGAATGTTTTCAGTTGAACTCTACTCAGTACCGCAGGTTTTACCAGGAACTCTATTTTTCTCTTGAAAATAAGATTCAGTGTGAATTATAACAGTCAGAAATTTTCAGCTATTTGCTGAACAAAAATATGGCCAATTAATTTTATTCCATACAGACATACATTAACTAACAGACATAATTAAGTACTGCTCAAAATACATGCAAGAAAAAGAACACAAAATATTTTCTTATCTTTGCTGTGATGGGCAACAAAAATTTACAGTGCCAAGTTTATGTACCAGACATGCAGAATATTCAAAAAAAAATATATAGGGACCAAGAAATTTTTGGTTGTATTGATCTTTGGGACTGCTTACCAAAAGTTATAAGTATGATAGGTCATGCAGGAAGTAATCAGCAGGACAAATCAATGTATATACGGTATTGAAAAGTTGGCCGACCATTATTAACCAAATTGTCCAAGAAACTGCACATTTGAGTATACCCAGACATTTGTCAGACCGGAGCAAAATTGTTTTATTAATTCCACACAGCATGGTAACAATTAAATGGTCCTTGCTTAAGAGAGGTGCTTAGATAGAAGTATTCAGTACAAATAAAGCTACTTTATTGTCTGTGTCATGTACTATTTGCTAGGAATTGAGACAATATATAGATGAATATACAATGGTGTACGATCCAACAGATGAAGGTGATTGGAGACTGGTGGTGAATGAAGTGACCGCATTTATTGATGTGAGTTTTCAACTCACATAAACGAATGAAAGTTTCACAACTTGTCAACAAGATGGCATTGCATTCTTCCTGTCTTAGGAGTTGTTCAATTGAACATTAATATCCTAATAGCTCAGTAGTCTGAGTGTTTAAAGGTTAAAGTAGAGACCCAGACGGAAAAAAAATTTTTTGCACAGGAAATATTTTTTCTTTGGGAAAAATGTGCAGAAATGTCAGATATTTTTACAGAAAATTTATGGCAGACCAAGGGTTCCTGCAGTCAGAAAGTGTTTTTGTCAAATAGGAAGATGAAAAATCTACTTGGTTCTTGATTCACAAAGGTGTTTTGTGCAGATTTTCCAGAAATTATTTGCCAGTTTTTTACCATTTGAAAAATTTTGAGAATTTTTGCGCTGGAAATTAATTTTCTCCAAAAACAAAACTTTACAGTCTGGGGCCAGAGATATATTGTATTTGATTCCCAGTTGGGACAGCCAGAAATTAGTTTTCCACAAGTGAGTTATCTACATTTGAATACCTCAAGTCAGAATAGTTTTTGAATACCATTATTTTTAATATCAACAAAGATGTGCTTTTCAGCCATTTTAAAATCCGCCATTTTTTCATATTTTAGTAAGCCGCCATTTTGTTCTCTGCAATTTTGTACTATTTTTAAATTGATTTTCTTATTTCCATTAAAAGTTACAGAATATTACGTGGGACCTTTAAAAATTATTCTGAGAGTATCAAACTCCAATATTCCAATTCTATGAAAACTTCATTACATATAAAATTGAAATAAGCTTTTTTATAGTATTTTAATATCTAAAAGAACTTAATAATTATCCAGGTTGAAAAGAAATATACTTACTGTTTCATGTTCTTTGATATGGACAAAACCACAAGTGACACAGTGGAGAAATGAACTTCTCTTTTCAAAAATTTAATTTCCAGCTGAACACTTTCAGTTTCTTTTCCATTTCGTTTTAAACTTTTACAAAGAAAATGTTGAAACAAATGATACTGATAGTAAATTTACTTTTATATAATGACTTTATGGTGCTTCTTTACAACATAATTTCATCTTTTTTATCGTTTTAAATTTGCACTTTTCAGTTGAGTTGACTAGCGGCTAAATCGAGGAATGCACATTTGCCCAACGCCATCTTGAATTCCGCGCAATGACCTGGGTCTCAGTTATGATGTCATAGTACCTATCATGAATGATGTAATCAAAACAAACGTATTCGCGGGAAAATGAAAATATTGGATTCTGATTGGATAATTGTCGCTCGCACATGCCTAAATACTA